CCAGCCTTCTGTACCTGCCACAGATGGTTAAATAAGGAAATGGAAAAGAGAAGACGTTCCCTTTTCTATTTGACTATTTGAGGATATGATCGAAGTTTAGGAGTAGACATCTGAATTAACAAGAGAACTCTAAGTAGACATGTTTGTGAGAGTATAAATTTCTTCATTGTCACATTTATCTCTTCCCCAAATTCCTCTGTATTCAGGTAGGGATCTCCTTGAGTGGTCTGAATTATCTCCATTCTTTAGCATTCTCCCTTTATTTCCTTTTGCCTCTTTGCTGGTCTTGAAGGATATGGCAGTGGAGGCTATGGGATTTCATTAAAAAACAACAACAACAACAAAAAAAAAAAAACATTAGAAGAACAAAGATTGCAACTACTCCCTGAATGAATTTAAAGTTCCAGGAAAGCTGAATGTGTTTTGACTCCCCGAGTCACTGTGTTTCCCCAGTGCTAAGTGTTTTCCGTGTCAGGTGACTAATCAATCCCTTTTCACAGCAGCATGGGGAAAACTAAAATCTAGTTTGTGCCAAGGCAGCACCAGTTTTTAAAAATAACTGTGATAGCTATACGGTTGTGGTTTTCTCATTTATAACATTATACTGAGTGTTTTGGGGTACGGAGGGGAGGGAAAGAGAAGGTTTTCAAAGAAGGTATTCATTCCCACCATGAACAGCATTTTCCACCATGTCGCTGCTGTATCTTTCTCGTTGAGTTTCCAAACGTTTCTATTTTCACACAACTAGCTATTGTTGGGTCCCAGGCCTTCAGCAAATCATGCTGTGATCAACAAGGCCATCATCACCCCTCGCCATCAACCTCTCCCACCCTCACACACAAAACTCCTTGCTTTTTCTCTCCTGATCCCGGGAGTATCTGTCCAGTCAACAAAATTCAGGCTAACTCCTCAAAAGCAGGTTCTAATCCCCCCCAAAATTCTCTAGGGTTTTTTGTTTTGTTTTGTTTTGTTTTTAGAGAAGGGGCTGCTACCATTTGTGAAATACATACCATATACCAGGCACTATGATATATATTCTCTATTGAGAGCTTTATGGAAGCTATAGATACCCCCGGAGAAGGGCATATTATCACAAACAGGGGATGTTATCACATCCAATGGCAAGAGGAGGTTCCTTGAACCCCAGATAAGGAGCCTTGCACCAGGGTAGTGGTCTCAAAACTCTTTTAATTTAGAAACCCTTTCAGAAACAAAACCATATATCCCAATTATTTATGGAATTTACTTATAAATTACCTACATGTACTGCTCTACTAAGATGTGTATCATAAAACACTCAAAAATTTAGATCTTAAAAGGATAAGATGCGAGCACTTATCAAAAGGCCAGAGTTTTTCCCAAGGCTGGTGAATGCTTTTATGCATGCCCAAGTCACACGTGTAGATACACCCCACTTCAAACCCCTTCCCCAGGACCTGCGCCCATTGCATCTTGCTGCTGGACGTCTCACAGCATCTTGTTCATGAAGCAAAAAGCTGAAAGTAGTACAGCAGGAAGAAAACGCTAACAGCCCCCTGCAGATCAAAATAACTCCCAACATTCTGTGACTAGGAAACTGCACCTGTTCCCACCTCTTGTAAAAGAGAAGTAATCCTGGTAAAGACTGCTCAGCAGAAGAGATCACTGGAAAAGCTTTGACTACTCCCACATAAAAGAAGCAGGTTTCCTATTAAAAAAAACAAAAACAAAAAAATCACTCTGCCCTATATAAGCTTTCAGGCCACAGTCACGCTGTACTTAATAAACCATACCGTGTTGTTCTCTGTCACAGAAAGAAATGCAGCTTGAAACCCAAGTGGGGAAGGGCATCGGAAGGTTGCATGGCATTCTAGAAACAGAAGACCTCTGCATTCAAATTCCCACAGCTGCACCTTTCTGGCTTGAGTAAGTCATTTAACCTGCTTCTTAGGCTCCTCGGCTCTTACATGGGGACAACATGTGCATATTTCATAGCTTAAATGTAAGTTAAAATTCAAACATGACATTAATGGGGGTGAAAGTGTTCTATAAATTATGAAATGCTGTATAAATGAAATAACTTTTGTCCTCCTGCTATCAAAACAAAAGCCGAGTGATTGACAGAGTGACACATGCCCTTCTAGAGAAATCAGTGTGTAAATTTTCAAAGTTCACCGCAGACCCTTTGAGACATGCAGATTGGTAGCTCACTACCCCAATTCCCAATCCCCCAGCTACTCCTAGCTAATCCTGTGTAAGTGCCTGATGGAACTGCCTTCATGGAACTAGAATTTCGGTGGAGGCCATTCACTGGAGTAGATTTTGTAGAGAGGTCACATCTGCATCCCAGGAGTGAAGGCAGGCAGGACAACGAAGCGATGTTAGCCCGGGCAGAGGCTTGGAAGCTATGGCCTCACAATGTGTAGTTGGCCTCCCTCTGATTCTGTGGAGAAGCTTTCAGCCCTTCTGCTCAGTAGACATACCCGCGGCACACGACTAAGCAAATGTCTTCGCAAATGGGAGTAGTGTCACTGAGTAAGCTCCGAAAGCTTTGGGGCCCTAAACCCCATCTAAAGCCCCGTGCGTCCAGGAAACACAGGCCAGAGATGTGTCTCATGGATTAAGTCATTGAAGATGACTTACACAAACATTTTTAAAGCTTCAAAATTTATTGCTGTACACTTTTCGCATAGCATTGACTATGGAAATACTAATAGTGCAAATATTTATTTTGGACTTTGTAGCATTTGAGATCACAAAGCTTTTTGATATCTTTTGCAATCATTTATGAAGATCTCTATTACTCAACTTATCTTTCAAATTCAAACAAGTACTCTTATATTCAGCGAGATTACATAATGCTCTCAAGATCTCTCTTCTAGAACAAAAGAAATACACTGGAAGCCACCAGGGGCATTCCTTTCCTTGATGATACATTCGTCTTGCAACACTTTTTCAACTGCAAGGCTCTTTGTTCATTTACAGATTCATTCCAATAAATATTTATTGACAAAACTGCTATGTGCTGGACACTGTGCTAGGCTCTGGGGACATTAAGATGAAAAGAGGCAATCTCTGCTTTCACGGTGCTTACAGTCTAAAAGTGGAAACAGACATGCAAACAAATTTACAATACAGTAAAGTGCTTCCGTGGAGGTATTTACAGAGTGCAGGGGAAACCTGGAAGAGGGAAGAACATCTTGCTGGAGAAATCAGGGACAGCTTCACAGAGGAGGTAGCCACTGAGCTGAGACTTGACCAGTAACCAGGAATTTGCCATGTAGACAGGCAGGCAAAGGGAATGACAGGTGCAAAGACATAGAGGCCCAAGGGGCACTCAGAAGGACCAAGTAATGTGGTTTTTCTTGAGCTGAAGGTGATAAGAGGGGCAGGATGACCTAGACAAATAGGCAGGGATCAGATCATGGAGAGCCTTTTGATCATTCATCCATTTATTCAACAAACATTTAATAAGTGCTTACTATGTACCAGGCACTAGGCTAAATGCTGGGGTTGTACCAGGGAACAAGACAGATACATCCTCGCTCTCGTGGAGCTTACATTCTAGTAAAGAGATAGACAAAAAGTCAACAAATAAATACAGATTGAGAAGATTTCTACAAAGGAAATAAACAGAGTGCTGAGGCAGAAAACAAATATTACAGGGGCAGAGAGTAGTTACAGTTATTAGAAAATGCCTCTTGGAAGTGACATAAAACTGACACCTGCAGGGGTTATGACAAAGGCATGCTCCGACGGGAGCGTTCACTATGCACCAGGCACTGTGCTAAATGCTTTACAAACAGTAGCTCATTTAGTCCTCACGACGACTCTATGAGGTAGTATTATTCCTATTTCATGGAGGAGGAACAGGGCTCAAGGAGATTAAGTCACCTGACGAGTCACACAAATGGCAAAAACCAAGGTTCAGACACAGGTTCTCTTCATTTCAAAGTGCTCACTCTTAAAAATTCTTAAAATAATTCTTAAAAATTACATGGAGAAGTGAGAAACTTCGAGTAGGGAAATGATACAGTCACATTTGAGGACCATTCTGATGACCATATGGAGGAGGAGGGATGGAGACAGAAGGAGGGAAGGAGGGAGGGAGGGAGAAAGAAGCCACTCAAAGTCCAGAGGAGAGGAAAGGAGTTGCATGAAGGCAGTGGTTGCGGGAATGAAGAGGTATGGGTGTGAGAAGGGCATTTGATAGTTATAACAGGACTGACAGGACATTGGAAGCAAGGGAACAGGGACCACTTTCAAGGGCACCTGTTTTGAGCAATTGAATGGGATGATTTGCTTCTACCCTTGTTAGGGGATGCAGGACGGTGGTAGATTTGGGGAATAAGATAATGAATGTTTAATTCTGGACATGTTATCCTGTGGATATCTTGGGAAGACCTGGACTTATAAGATGGTCGCCAGTTGGACATCATGTAATGGCTTTCATACCTTGTTCTCTACCTGAGCAAAGTATATAAGAACAAAAATCAAAGTTTTATACGTGTGTACATTGTGTTTTTGCTTTTACCAAAACTGTTTATAAAAGCATGTATATCTTGGTTGGATAGCTTTGTAAAAAGAACATATGATCACCAAGGTGAAGTTACCCCAAGCTTAATTACAGAAGAGAAATCATGGACTTGGGGCGGGGGAACCTAAGAAAAGCCTTTGGACATCCATTCTAAGTAGCTACACCAGTTCTTGAAAAGATATCAATGTTGACTTCCCACAGCCACCTTGTTTGGGGCAGTTTGATGGGCCCAGAGGAGGCATCCTTGGCCAGTAGTCTGCCCAGAGTCTGCCAAGTATCCAGGCTCATTTGCCAGTTAAGAATGCTCTGAGGAAGCTGGTGGCATAAGGGACAGAAATCAAAGCTGACTATAAATCAGGAATTCCAAGAAGGTGTTACTTATATCGTTTGGCATAAGGTCCAGAGAGACAGCAGCCCAAACCTAGCCAGTTGTATTGCTTTGACTATTATTCCTCCCTTCCTCAGGAACTGGAAGGGTGCTGGAGGTAGTGGTAATAAAAGGTACAGGTGACACTTATATGGAACTGGTCACACCATGGACCACATCATTTCTTGGTCTAATTTTAAAAGAACTCAGAGTGAAGAAGTACATAAACCCTCCCTGTAGAAAGCTATTATTTCCCAAAATATCTTCAAATTTGCTTACAACCACTCCCTCCTTTTCCTTGGCATCAGATTAACTTAAATAGGTTTTTGCTTTTTATTTTTTTTTTCAACGTTTATTTATTTTTGGGACAGAGAGAGACAGAGCATGAACGGGGGAGGGGCAGAGAGAGAGGGAGACACAGAATCAGAAACAGGCTCCAGGCTCTGAGCCATCAGCCCAGAGCCTGACGCGGGGCTCGAACTCACGGACCGCGAGATCGTGACCTGGCTGAAGTCGGACGCTTAACCGACTGCGCCACCCAGGCGCCCCAGGTTTTTGCTTTTTAAACTCATTTAATAATGCTGTGCCAGTTGTAGTAAATAGGTATCAAAGAATTTAAGTGATAATGAAGTTACACTTGAGAGTTTCAACAACAACAACAACAACAAAATAATACTGTGGAGGCCGGGGACTGATTAGTAAAGTATTACAATCTGGCTCATTAAGCAACTCTGCCTGGAAAGTTGCCTCTCTCTGGAGCAAAGGGTCTAACCTGCACCTGTTAACTCAGTAAGCCAGCAGACATGAGAAAACACTAACTGTTCTAGAAAAAACAACAGCCATGGACTTCCAGTACCATCCAAAGGGTACCTGTGTACCTAACTCACGCCCAAGGGAAGGAAATGCTTTATTTTTATAAAACTAACAAAAGTACTAATCACAGGCAAGAAAAAAAACAAAACAAAACAAAAAAAACCCTGACACATGCTAGATGGCAACTGAGAATTCAGGGGAAAGCGACACAGTTTTCACGCTATTCGGAGGCATATTGCAAATGCATGAACTATTCTCTACCACCTCCATTTGAAACCTAAGGCCCAGGGATCACAGCTGACTGTAAATCAGGAATCCCAAGGGGGCGGGGGAGGCTATTTATTATGTGTGCTCTTTTAACAGAAAGAATTCCAATCAGTCTGTGAATATAATCATTTATTTGTCTTTACAGTGATGATGGAAGAATGTACAGGTGTCCTCTTTCAATAAAGTATAAAAATCTGTTTATATACAGTGAAGTCACAATAATCTTTAATTGGGAGATTTATTTGGTACTACTGATCGGTTCATATTAAAACGGGGAAAACAAATATTTCACGTAAGTGCTACATTTCCAGTAGATTGCACCTGGCATCAAAAGCTCAGCTTCAACTTAAGCGTCCTCCTTGATATTACAAAAGTCTAATTTTAAGTCCTAGGACTCAAAATAAACATCATTTTTTGAATAATAGATATATACATCAAAAATACATCTAAAAAGGCATTGGTTAGTGCTATTAAAAAGCTGTATGTGCTCGGGTATGTTTTTTTTCTTACAGGCGAAACCCAGTGGAAACGCTTTTGTTCAATTCTAGAAATTTGCTCTTGGGGAACGTTGGTCGAAAGTTACCTGTAAGGAAAAACAAACAAATTTAAGTAATTCAATGATTTCTCAGGTGAGGTCAGCAGAACTTGAAAAAGTAGTTAGAGGCTAAACTTCACGTAGAACCACATTTTTAAAGTCTTGTTAACATTTCATTACTCCTGTTTCCGATTCTGTGTCTCCCTCTCTCTCTGCCCCTCCCCCGTTCATGCTCTGTCTCTCTCTGTCCCAAAAATAAATAAACGTTGAAAAAAATAAATAAATAAATAAATAAACATTTCATTACAGCGCTTTGTACATAAAAAATGTTCAACATATCCTCTCATTGTTTCAAGTGCTTTAACAATAACTTTATACTCCTTTTATTTTCAAAAGAGTCATATGTACAGCTTTGTATGCTAACACAAATACTATCTATAATTAATTGAATCCATATAAAAACAGAAATCATAGGGCATACAAATTTTTAAAAAAAGACTGTATTAGATACAGCCAAATCCAAACAATTTTGAGAAAATCTAGAAAAACTACTAACTGATTTACTTTACTTCAGAGCATTTACAGATGACAGATATGCACTGAAGTTTTATTATTATTTCACCTCGGTGAAACAGTACTGTGCAATGGCAGAGTTTATATATGTGATCCCGTATCTCAGATGTAGCTACATATTTTAAAACCTTTGCTTTTATGGTTTTCTTCTTGTTGCATTCACTCCTAAAACTGCGATAATCTGGGTACTCCTCTATGATTGTAAAATTTTAACAGTTCTCAACCTGTTACAGATATATATACATATATATCAAATAGGGGCACCTGGGTGGCTCAGTCAGCATCCGACTTCAGCTCAGGTCATGATCTCATGGTTCATGGGTTCGAGCCCCACATCAGGCTCTGTGCTGACAGCTCAGAGCCTGGAGCCTCCTTCGGATTCTGTGTCTCCGTCTCTCTCTGCCCCTCCCCTGCCTGCACTCTGTCTCTCCTGTCTCTCAAAAATGAATAAACATTAAAAAACTTTTTAAATAAAAATAAAACAAATAAATAAAGGCCCACTTTGCTAATAAGGAACATCAGAAAGAACCGTGGCATGGTGGGGTGACAGACCCAAGCAGAACTGCGTGTTACAGGCTCCATCTCTTACGAGCCATGTGAAGTCGGCCATGACCTACCCTTTGATCAAGCCAAGCCCTACCTATTCTACAGATTATTACAAACACCTGATTACGTTATGTGGCAGTGCTCTGGTTTATGAAACACTTTAGGTGCAGAGAGGACTAAATGAGCGAATTAGGTACATTTAATTCTGAGAACTAAGAAGTACTTCTAATTCTTCCACAACCTTCGAGTCTAATGGCCTGGTCTCATAATACCATTCCCCAGTTTAGGATGTGATACCCATACTCTGAATCTCTCTGTACCCAACATGCCAAAACAATGGCTACTTTAAGTATATATTAAAATTCTAATCACTCAATATTAATTAGTTTGTTCCCACCATTAACCACATTTGTGCCAGGCAATGGGCAATGCTGGCATTCATTCATTCATTCATTCATTTATTTATAATGCTAATTCATTTTTGAGAGAGAGAGTGTGTGTGTCAGAGCTGTCAGCACAGAGCCTAACAGGGGCCCAAACACACAAACCGCAAGATCATGACCTGAGCTGAAGTCAGACACTTAACCTACTGAGCCACCCAGGACCCCAATGCTGGCTCTTACATGAACAAAGTGCCTAGTCCCTAAAACCCATGCTTGCTTACATAAATCAGGGTACTGCCTTGATACCCATTTGCAAAGTGATCTGCGATGTAAACAAGGGTCTAATGAAACCTCAGTTAGTAGATCCCTGATTAAATTGTCTTCAGGACAAAGTCTGAAAAACAACAAATGCTAAAAGGCTCTGAAGAGGAGGGCTCTCCTAGAGTCCCTTTTGATGCAATCCAGGCACAGCCATTCCAATGCCCACACTGCGCTCCAGAGACAGCATGGCTGAAGCCTTCAGACAGAAGAAACATGCTTCAGACTTTTCCTCTGAAGGACTTACACAGACCACGCACACTCATCAAAGCCCATAAAACACATCCCGGCCGGAGTGGAAAACAAGATTCAATACCAACATGGCGTCTTCCTGTCCTCAATAAGGGAGAAAAAAAAAAAAAGACTTAAAATAGCACTGAACTGGATTCCCATGGTTCTGTGTGTTCAGGAAACTGTCACCAAGTGGAGATGCTATCACTGAATACATAATGTGAGGCACTATAATTATTACACGATTTCTGTATCACTGTGGCATGAGCCGCTCCCTGGGTTACGGCAAAGGCACTGATGGGAAGGGAAGGTTGTGTGAACCATTGACTCAGTGTCCCTGCACACAACACCCTGTCTGTGCCTGTACCAAACAGGCCTCTGGCCATCCCTCGGCAGCTCAAGTGAAAAACCTGGAGTCGTCCCCATCACTTCCAATCAGTCACCTGGTCAAGCTGATTCTATCTCCAAATACCTCTCAAACGGACCTCTGCTCTTCCTCTTTCTCTGCACCCACTGCCAACATTCCTGTGAAGCCACCATCTCTCTCGCTGCCAGGCTACAACAGCCTCCTCACTGGCCACCCCGCGTCCAGGCTGTCCCTGCTCTAATCCTCTCTTTCACACGGCAGCCAAAAGGAACTTGCACAGAAGCACATCTGACCATGTTCCTCAGCCTTCAGTGGATTCCCATTTGCTTTAATGTTAAAGCTGGAAACCCTTAACAACAACCCATCAGCATAAGATTCGCCTCCACACATTCTCCCAGTGCTCCCCAGACCTACTGTAAAGGCACCGACTTCTCCTTGCTGTTTCTTTACATGGGAACACTTTTATTCCGAACTCTGGCCTACTGCTGCTTGCCCTTGAGGCTCAACATAAATGTCACCTCCTCACAGAGGCTTTGTTGACCCTTCACACCACGTTAGCTCCCCTGCCATCAGCTCCCCCAGTACCTTTGCTTTTCCTTTGTAGCACTGATCACAGCTGGTAATTATGGAATGTGGTGAGTGTCTGGTTAGTACAACTGTATGGCACGTTCCGTGAGCAGAGGGACTGTGTGATTGTGGTCACCACTGTGTCTCCAGAACTAGCACCAAAAGCAAGAATGACTAAGCAGGGCCAGGTGTGGGTCCATAGACTGAAAGGGATGGGGGAGGACAGATTCAAAAACATCTAGGAGTTAGAATTCTAACTCACTCTGTTTGTTCTCTCTCTCTTTCTCTCTCTCTCTCTCTCCCCACAATGCCTCAGTTTTGGCTTCAAAAGACATAAATAAGTCACTGGCTCATAGGGGACAGAAAGTAAGACAAGGTCTGCCGAAACCAAGCAGGATGGCAGTTGGGAAGCAAGATGCCACATTAACCCCTGGAGCCTGGACCACAGCCACTTAAAGAGAATATATACCCACCAGGACAGAACCTATGACACTCATGTGAGCTCACGACAGGGTCAAAGTTTGTATGTTGTAAGGTAAATTATTTATTATCCTTTAATATGTCCTTCTGAGTCTCTCTGCATCAAGTCTATGCTAGAGAAAACCTACTTTAGGGCCCTAATTTTCAAGAGCGGACAACAGGGGCGCCTGGGTGACTCAGTTCGTTAAGCATCTGACTTCAGCTCAGGTCATCATCTTGTGGTGTGAGTTCCAGCCCCACATCAAGCTCTGTGCTGACAACTCAGAGCCTGGAGCCTGCTTCAGAGTCTGTTTCCCTCTGTCTTCTGCCCCTCCCCTGCTCGCATTCATTCTCCCTCTCCCCCTCTCTCTCAAAAATAAAAAATAAAAAAAAAGGGAGGGGGGGAACAACAGACCCCAGAAAGATAGTGTGGCGGGGATGACCGCCACCTTCACCACCTGCGACGGCTCTCCTTTCTTCCACCTGGCATTACAAGAGGAGGTCAGACTCCTTGCAAGTGGCTTCAGGGCTGTGAGTGTCTTCACATCATTAGGACAAAAGGGTGAAACACAGAAGAGGCCGAACGGCACCTGCTCACCCCTGCGCGGGAGCGTCTATACTTTGCTGAGGCAGGCCACAAAGGGCAAAAGCAAGAAATCAACCATCTTCAGGTGCAAGCCCCTCCCCCTCTGCTCTCAGTTTACCTGATCATATTCTTAGGCTTCATCTCCACTGTCCATTTCGATATCCATTTCTTCCGTATCAGCAGCTCGTGACAAGATGTCTGCCATCAGTGCTTCTTCCAATTTTTTGCGTACTTGTTGTACTCGCTCTTCCTGTTTCCTTTAAAAAAAAAAAAAAGTAAAATCACACTGATGATCTGGCAAGTACTGGAACCATGCAGCTGCTACTACACTTTATGTTTAGTTTATCAAAATCACGAAAACTCCCAACAGTACATTTCCTTCTCCTTAACTTTGCAAAACTTTCTCCTACACCCACAAAGCCAAATCGCACAGAAGGCGGGCCTTGCCAAAAAGAGGAAACTTCAGACAGGCAGGTATCCCACATCTCGCTGAGAATTCCTGGCAGGAGTAGATTTATTGCAGTGACCTCTTCTTCAATTTCAAAACTTTCAAGTATGTGAAGATTTGGGGCTGTTGCTATAAGGGAGATTAGAAATAACTTGAAAGCAGGGATAAAAGAAAAGTTATATGGGAAATAAAGAAGGGGAAGTGATTTGTTCAACAAAGCACAGAGGAAGATGGAGGAAATGGGGGCACGATGGAGTGCCGCATTCTGTCTTTGTTAGGGGCCAGCCCGTCGGAGCTCTTCCCTGGGTTCCCAGTCCTACCGACAGCAGGCCATCACAAAGAAGCCAAGACCAAGGAGAAAAGCCGAACAGCATCTCAACTGAGATGAGCTGAGAGGTTAAGAACAGGCCACAAGTTTCTCTGTGTCTCGGGGATTGCAGTGGGACCTCAAAAGTGAAAGTTAATAGCGCCAAGTCATAAAAAGAGGTTCTGAACCATTTGGTGGGAAACAAAGCCCGGGAAGAAAGTCTACTGGTATGTACTTTGTGTCTAGAAGTCAGACTAAATTTCAGAGTAGCTCCGTGACAGTGCGAGAGAGGGATTCCTAAAAACAGCTCTCCTGAGCAAAGACGGTAAGTAGCAATTCACATCCAGAACCCAGCGAAGAGGCCACGGCTGCCGAGAGAAGGGGGAACCCTAGGAAGGAAGAGGTTCAGGAAACCCAAGACAGGGAAAGAAGTAGAGCCACAAGTGGGGTGCTGGCCTTGACTCGAGAGCGGGACAGATCGCGTCTTGAGGCCAGAGGAAAGGTGGTTAGGACAGACGTAGACTGGGACATGGAACAGCTCGGTGACAAGTAAGAGACACAACAAGCAATACTGAGGGCTCTACAGTGGGGGCTGGGGGGGGGGGTGATTTTTCTCTGTCGATATTGAGGAAAACGAAGTGCAGCACTGCCTCAAACCTGGGAAAGTGGTGGGGCGACATTCTGGAAGAGCACATGAAGCTTCCCTGAGGACGTGCCTCTTGCGTCCTCAGCCAGTTGTAAAGCTGCATGTGCTGTGCTGTATCCCAGCCTGCACGTTTCTTGATCTCCTGAGACTATATCCCAAGTGAGAAGCTAACATAAAACTCTACAGCCACAAAAACTTTAGATGTCCTCTTTACTGCAGTCAAAAAAACAGCACAAAGAGTTAAAAGGTACATGCTTCCACTTTATACATGAATTTTCACAAAGAGGAAGGCTGTCACTGAGTAAGCCTCTGCCATGTTAAGAAACTGGAGTTGAACAGATTTTCATGTAGTTGGAGCAGGGTCAAGAAGAAACATTGTTTATTTCTTACATAGTCAGCCTCGCCTTGGGCTCCCTGACTCAAGGTTTATGACAAATGGCATATCAGTCTCTTCGGCAATCTCTCACTCCTAGTAACTGAGTATGAGAATCTGCACCAGTGCCCCCGAGTAATCCCATTAGGAAGAAAACAGAGCAAATCTAATGTTTGCCATCGATTCTCTTCTGTCTTGAGCGTTCCTTCCCATACTTATGTAAGCTGAAATAAAGCATCTGCATCTGCCCATGGTGGTAGGCAGAATTGCAACAGTCCCTGCCACTGGAGAGACTCCCTGTGCAGTTCCCTCCCCTTCAGGGAGGCAGAACTTGTGAATGGGCCGGGACGTCCCTCCCGTGATTAGGCTACTGATCAATGGGACCTTGAGTTAATCAAAAGAGATTATCCCAGAGGGCCTCACCTCATAAGAACTCTTACAAGAGGCTGCGCCCTTTTTGAAAGAAATTGGGAGAGAAAATGTGGAGGGAACCTCAGAGCAAGGAACTGTGAATAGCCTCACCCCACATCCAACAAGACACCAGGGGCCCCAGTCCTACAACTACAAGAAAATGGATTCTGCAAAAATCACAGGACCTTGAAAGAAGATATTAGAAGGGAATGCAGTGCAACTGACACTTTGGTTTCCGCCCTGAAAGACCCTGGGCAGAGAATCGACTTGTATATCAGGCCCAGGCCTCGGGCCTACAGAACTGTGAGCTATACATGGGTGGTGTTTTAGGCTGCTAAGTTTGTGAGGACTTGTTACTTATATTAAAATAACATCCAAGGATTAAAATGTTATCGAATATGCTGAAAAAAATATATACTTAATGTTTAGATCTTTAATTTTTTTTTAAGGTTTATTCATTTCTCAGAGACAGAGAGACAGAGCATGAGCGGGGGAGGGGCAGAGAGGGGGAGAGACACAGAATCCAAAGCAGGCTCCAGGCTCTGAGCTGTCTGCACAGAGCCTGATGCAGGGCTCAAACTCATGGACTGCAAGATCATGACCTGAGCCGAAGTCGGACGCTTAACCGACTGAGCCACCCAGGTGCCCCAATGTTTAGATCTTTAACTGAAGGTCTAATATAAACAGAATATTGGCAGGGCACCAGGACAGCTCAGTCGGTTGAGTGTCTTGACTTCGGATCAGGTCATGATCTCATGATTTGTGAGTTCCAGCCCCATATCAGCTCATTCCTGTCAGCGCGGAGCCTGCTTCAGATCTTCTGTCTCCACCCACTCTCTGCTCCTCCCACCCCCCTCAAAAAAAAAAAAAAAGCATTAAAAACAATTAAACAGAATATTGGCTGCACAATTAGAGAAAGGGTAATAATTCCATTTGCAATAATTTTGAACCTGTATTAATTCAACAAGAAATGTGTGCATAATAATTTCTGTTATAACAATTAAATCAAATGGATAATTTGTTAAACAAGTTTACCCTAAAAGGAAATCATGGAGATCTGGCTTTGAGATAGTCTGCTCTACTATCAAAAGATCTGCTGTTGAAGGCATCAGCATTCCCATGACATCACCCAGAGGCCCTCAGTCTACGCCCACAGTGACCTGGCAGAATCCCTACTGATTTACCCGGTATTCATTCCAAGACAGGTAAGAACCTGTCTCCAGGGTAATTTCCTTCCTCAAGGGTAAGAATAATCCAAAGGGCAAGTCGCTTCCTCCTCTTGAATTACATTTTGTTTTTCTTAAAAAATAAAGCTCATCAGGGGTGCCTGGGTGGCTCAGTCGGTTAAGTGGCCGACTTTGGCTCAGGTCATGATCTCACAGTCCGTGAGTTCGAGCCCCACGTAGGGCTCTGTGCTGACAGCTCAGAGCCTGGAGCCTGTTTCAGATTCTGTGTCTCCCTCTCTCTGACCCTCCCCTGTTCATGCTCTGTCTCTGTCTCAAAAATAAATAAACGTTAAAAAAAAAATTAAAAAAAAAAATAAAGCTGATTAAATTCCATGCAATCAATGCATGTGAATGCAACTTTGAGTCATTTTACATCTTTTACATCTTTGCAAAAGGAACTACTTTAAAACCTAGCAAGTGCTTTACAATTACAAACCTAGGTAGACTCACGCATTTAAAAACATTTTCATGCCACCTTTTCATGGATTTAGAAAAAAAATACAAATATAAACATTTTAAAATTCTATGATTCAAAACTGCCATCTGCTGGTTTTGTCTAGGAATAATACTCTAATAAAACTTTCTGATTTAACATTCAGAGGATAGAAATGGTGAAAGATATGCATTGTCCTATTTTTAAAGAAAATACAGTGCATTACAATCTCATTATAAGGCAATGATATTCCAGTTCATAAATCCCATATAACAATTTCTTTCTGCTCTGAATATCTGGAATAGTTTGCTTCTTTTGAGCAACGGTTTGCTCATACATTCTGGGCATTATCAATCTGAATTGTACATTTTCTTTTCACTATTTGCTGCTAAAAACTAACTTGTGGAGCAGTCCTGGAGTAAAAGAGGTTAAGAAATGAACCTCATGTCCTCTCCTTACCCCGGGCTCTGTTTTACCACTTTATGCTTTACCCTTTGCTTGATATTTGCCATTTGCTTCTCACCGAGCTTGTGTGTGTGTGTGTGTGTGTGTGTGTGTGTGTGTGTGTGTGTGTGGCGCCACCTTAAATCTTTACCTGAAACAAGATGAAGCAGAAATGAATAAATCTCTAAACTAAGCCTAAGAGAGTAAACAGAATCAAGATAAGCAAACTGACCTTTGAAAGCACAAGTCAGCTTAAAGCAGCATGGTTACAATTTGTTTTAAAGAAGACACTGGTTTGCAGACAAACCAATGCAAAAAGCAATCACAAAAGGCATCGCTGAATGAAAGGGGTTCTTTACAGCAGAAAGGCAGAACCCCAAAATGCAAAAGACACTACAGTAACAATGTGTAGAGAGTACAACTGATGTGTCCTTCAGACATGACCGTGATGATACTTCCAGCTTTTTTCAAGCATGTATTTGTTTTAAATGTCCTATATCACCTTCCATTAGTTTCACAAGTTATTAAAAAAAAAAAAAAAAAAAAAAGTGTAACTTTCTGATCCATTCATCACTTAACCAGATGTGCCACAGAAAGTAGGAGGCAGTATAAAGTTTATCAAATAGGAGTTATATTATAACTGCCTTACCTAATGTCTTCATCTGTGACAATGAAAGCCTTGCAGAGGGGTTGAGATGTGTTCAGCCAAACAGCGGGGTTCTTTTCCACAGCAGGGGAGACCTGCCCTGTGATTGGCGCAGAGCTTGTGTGCAAAGCGCTGGCAACAGCAGATAAAAGGGTCTCGTCATTACTACCTGGACCAACTCCTGCGATCAGAAATACAAACTGGTTAAAGGGACTTCCAGATGTGCTAAGCAAATCTTACATAACCTAAAACAACTGACATTTTTATGCTTGTTTGGGATCACGTATTTAAAAGGATGATATCGTATCTACTGAACAGTTATCATATACCAGAGAATTAACATTCCAAAAAAAAAAAAAGTAACAAAATGGTTGAGCATTTTAATAAAACTTTAACACAACTTCAAAATACATTCTCCAAGGTACTAAACTGTTTAAAGTTGGCTACGTCTGTTCAAGCAGGGTCAATTATTTTAATGATCTAAATCCCTTCTAAAGTCACATCATATTTGAGTTTCCCTATTAATGCATCCCTCAAGTCCTACAATAGTTACTCCTGTAGGTTTCAATATTAATTTCTGGCAATATCTCAACACTTTTCTTTTGTTTGGGACTTCACAGGAAAAGCCAATGCAAGCATGCTGTACCTGCAGCTCTCACATCCTTTTCAAATACCTAACAAAATATCCAAGTTAACCAATTAATAATAACCAATAATAACCAATTAATATTAACCAATTAATAATTACACACCGTGACTACCTACACTACCTACACCGTGACTGGCACCAGGACCGCATTTAAATGCACTGCTTGAAGTCCTAAAGTTATGAAACCAGTGAAAGCAATAATTTCCAAGAAAAGAGAGGGATGCGATAATGTTCTAGCCATGAATTATGACAATTTTTGAGCAACCCACACTAGATCAACATTTGGAAGCTGAAGTTCTAATACTTGAAAAATAACGCTCCTCTGGAATGGAATTAACATGGGATATGACAGGCACACTAGTTAACTGATTTCTATACCCCGCAGACCCCACTTGCTGCTGTTACTGGGCCAAAGTGCCTCAGTTCCCACTGCTACATGCAGCAGCAGTCTGTGCAGGGAGAGACAGAAGAGTTATTAGCTGTTCTTCTGATAAGAGGAAGAGTGAAAGAGCAAACATTGAAGCCAGATGCTGCTTTGAGCAGGAAGCTTGAGAAATTCTGCCACTCGGCTGCATTTGGTTCTAAAAGCAGCACATGGGTCGATTTATACGGTGAACCTAACCTAAAGCCAAAATTCTTACACAGAAAAAAATCGGAAACATCCCTGCAACACTGTACAAGCTCTTCAAGTACATTCTCTCCGGATTTACACCAACACAAGAGGGACATCATCCAGAAAGGCACACAATCCCCCAAAGTAAAGACCCTGTCTCAATCATTTCTGACTCCCACAGCATCTAACACAGAGCCTGGCACATAGTAGGTACTGCTCAACTGAATTTGGATAATACCTTGAAGACCTTTAGGTAGTTCCATGGTTTTTATAATTTGTTCTGTTACATCTGATGCACTAAGTCCTTGTAGCCTCTTCTCCCAGAAAAGCTGTAAGGCAAAACATCACTGTTAATAGACATTCTTGGACCAAGAAAGTAGCGCATCGATGCTGCTGAATGATGAAACTGAAATCATTTCAAGAGTTTCCTAATTTCCCCACTTTTGTCCTTACATATACTAAATGATACTCCAAATATGAATTATTTCAACATGTCATAATTCTTTAAAATGATATTAATCAAAATTTTCTTATTTATGCAATCTATTCACTTGTTACAGTATTATAGATTTTTATATGCTATATATTATATATAGTACTTTATAAGGTAACTTCCAAAGAATGTAACTTGAATTATTAAAGATTTCATTTGGTATGAAAATTTAATGTTATAATTTATCAGGGAAAGAAAACAAATTATATTATAAATACCCCTTTATTCAATATTATTAGGGAAAGAGCTCCTCTACCTATGTGATTCTTCCCCAAAACTGAAGTTTAGTATTTAAGGGGTCAAGAGCCAGTTTTTTTTTATGAAAACTTTTCTAAAATGTTTTGTATACTTCCTTGCTTTTTGAGCAGGGTGTCACGTTCATGGGTGACTTTCTCCCTGTTGCAGAGAGCCCAGATCACCTGAGTCACTTAGTGGCCCCATGCCATCATTCTGGACATGAGTCAGCACACTGAAGGCTCCTCATACTTCATGGGGCCACTGAGGTATGCAATTGCTTATTCAAACACTAAATGGTCCAAGACAGTTCTGCTGTTTGGTTTTCATATCCTTTCTGTACTTTATTTTCTCTCCTAGCTAGCTATTACTTCTCAATAATGTCATTCATTTGTTCAACATGTATTTACTGAGCTCCAACTACGTGCTGCCCCGTGGATGCCTTAGTAGATGAGATACACTGGGTCTCTGTCCTCAAGACTTATCTCTTTTCTAGTCTGTTTCTTATTCACTGTAGCCAAAAACAAAACAAAACAAAACAAAAAACAGATAAAGGAATTCCTTAGGACTCTGTATATTTGTCTTTAATCCCAGATACCTGGGGATTGTCAAAAGTAGGTACTGAAAAAACACTGGTACTAAAAAAAATATTGAATGCCTGAATATGGGAATAAAGGACTCAGAATGAGGATCCTGAGGGGCACACAAAAAAATGTGACAGTAATGAGAACCATGTAAGATTAATATGGGGATTAAACAGGGCAATGTATGTAAAGTACCTGTCATGGGGAGTCGGCACAAGGTTTATCATATTTACTTTTAGCAAATTTTGACCACCCTGAGGGCTTATATTCTGACTTCTAGATATATGAGAAGTATCAGGTAACTGCCCTCCAGACAAATGCAAGATACAATAAAAATCTCTTTATGGCAGAAGAGTTATACGCTGGGTCTCTAAAAACCTCACTGCTAGCACCAAGAGTAACATGCAATAGAATGCTTCACTCTCCTCTGAAGACGGCTGGTATATGGTAACAACTCCTTACATCTCCCTATAAATTATGTCATCAGCAGAATGTGGTCAACGTATATGAGGACACGAATGCATTAATTATCATGGGTGAAAAATAGTTAGGTGAAGGTAATAATTGATAAATGTGATAAATGTCCCAAAAAAACCCCACCTGCTATTCTCTTTTTGTGGGAAATAATATTATCTATGCATTGATTATCACAACTATGGGAAGAAAAAAAAAAACAAGGAAAACAAAAGCCAGTCAATTCCTAATGAAAAAGGAAAAGTATTCAGAGGAATCAGTGAGTATGATATTAGCAAGCACCTTTAAAAAAAAATAACTTAATTTGCAAAATAAATCAACACTACCAAAAAACAAAGTATAGATATTATGTACAGATATGATTACTAATATTTTACATACTAACATTTTACATAAAATTCCATTGCTAGATATCAAAAGTTCAATTTTTTTACATGCTATAATTTTTAATTCTTAATTTTTAAATTCCTATTAACTGAAAGGAAAACGATATAAAATTTAGAAAGGAAAGTCTTGCAAAATAAACCTTGGACTGAGAAACGAAGTGTATGGATCTGGATTACAAGTCCTGGTATCACCACATGCCATCTCACAGCCCTCAACTAAGTCTGAAGTTGAATATGATACGCACCGATGACCTCTGTATAAATGAAATGCTTATGCCATGAAAACGGAGGCACATGGATTTACACAGGTGGATGTGTGTAGGTGACTGTATTTCTGCCCCCACTCGCGCTCCCCAGAGGAGGTGGGGGATATGGGAGAAGGAAAAAAAGGCTGGTTTGATAAAACAAAACATACACTGGGTGTAGGTCACCACTGCCCTGCGCTCCATCCTTTCCACCACTCATTCAACACTATCAGCTCACCTAATTTTTGAGAGAACTGAAACAGTCTTCATGAGATAAATGTCTGTTTACAAATCCGTATGTTCCTGGGGCGCCTAGGTGGCTCAATTGGTTGAGCAACCGACTTCGGCTCAGGTCATGATATCACAGTTTGTGGGTTCGAGCCCCGCATCAGGCTCTGTGGTGACAGCTCAGAGCCTGGAGCCTGCTTCTGATTCTGTGTCTCCCTCTCTCTCTGCCCCTCCCCCACTCATGCTCTGTCTCTCTCTGTCTCAGAAATAAAAAAACTTACAAATCTTTATGTTCCTAACTCATGTTCCCTACATTAGTTTTCTCAGGCCCCTACCTGGTTTGTTTGTTTTAGGGTTGGGAACTTCTTTACATTTGAAAATATTTCTTAAAATGGCATAGGCATCATGCTAAGTGAAAGAAGCTAGTTATTTACATGCTGTGTGATTCAATTTATAGGACATTCTGAGGAAAAAAAACCTATAGGGAGGTTGCCAGGGATTAGGGGTGGAGGGAGGGTCTGACTACAAAGGGTCAGCACAAGGGAATTCTTTGGGTACTGGAATTGTACCCTCTGTTTTTATCCAGCTGCTAGAATTACCATTTTCTTTACTTTTCAAGCCAGTTCCTCAAGGAATGACTGATACGTACTACCTCCATCCCCCATTTCCACTTGACTACCCCCATCCCATTCCCCATGAATTTTCACCAAATTTGCTCTTGGAGGCAGTCAGCTCCTGTCACCATATTCAACGACCTCTTCTCTTTCTCTCTGGTCATTTTATAACCCTGCATATGCTGTGGAGAGGTACAGCGAACAGAGAAATCTTCCTCTGCCTAACTTTAAAATTTTCTGATCTGCTCATTTATGAATTCTATGTTTTCATTAGGTGACAAATTGTGGCCATCTGGAGTTCTTATTACTTCTCCAGCTATTAGAAGGCTAAAGGCAAAAACACTGAAATGATGAGTCTCCTTAAATGTGTAAGGAGTCTCCCTCTGTGACAGCGATCCCGTCTCTTCCACCACAACTTCATAAGCACTATTGCTTTCATGAATCCTAACCTACCCACTGAAAATCTGATTTCACCTGCCAAATCAATGATATTCTCAGTGTAACCTTGTTGCCTGAGGCCAAATAATCAATGTAATACTTTTAAGGAGCAGTGATTTAATATTTGGAGAAACTCCCAAAACGTGCTATCACCCTCAGTTATTATATCCCTTTCTAAGTCCCCACTACTTAGACCCTCCAGGTGCCTCTAACACCTTTTCTTTATCACCCTCCAGCATATAAGAAAACTGGAGAGAGCCCATGTGTGCATGATGTCATATGGCCAACAGTCTGGGCAATGCCTGATCCAGTAGACTAGCCGATGGAGAAGCGAGGCTGGGGATTAAAAGTCATCTAAAACCACAAAAGTGTCTAAAATGTCAGAGACAGGGGCAGTGCAGCTTTGGAGGAACTCCCTCCCCGGAAAATGGAGTTCACGTCCATAGCTTTGTTCCTCACATGAAGATGCATGTAATTCTATCTTGGAGTCCCAGGGGGCAAACAGGATCGTGTTATGAAAGCTGTTTCTTTAGTGAGATGGTCAAATCTGTTTTCTGAAAGTAAACCAACCCAGAATACAACTGCAGCATTTTCTTCTCTTAACTGCTGTGGATTTAACTGGGACTTTGGGAAATTTGTTCAACTGGCCTTACAGAGGATATCCAAAAGAGAGGATGAGGAAGAAACTGGGATAGCAAAGCAGCTCCCCACAACCACACACAAACACACCATCCCTATTCTGATGCAGTAGGAACTCAGGCTAGTCATGTTTATTAGTACTGTCCTCTATCACCCTGAACTTGATCATGTGTACCATGAAGGAATCTGTGCTCTTCTGGGGAAGTCAGAACAACACGGTTTACCGGAAAAAAGTAATTAGAGGATCTCTCCAGATTCAACAAATATTCTTTTAGTGCCCATTATACACAAAGTATTTTGTCAGGTACTGAGGATAGTTATTAGGATAACTGGTAATCACTGCCCTCCAGGAGCTTACTGCTTGTTGGGAAACGAGCAAAACTCTACAAGATAGACTGTGATACCCGCAACAAAGAAGATACAAAATGAACTTCAATTTGGGAGAATCCACGAAGGCTTTTAGAAAGAGGTAGCTCTTGATTTAAAAAAAAAAAAAAAAAAAAAAAAAAAGTGTAAGAATTCTACACAGGAGGAAAGACTACTCCAAACAAGGAAATCACTTAAGCAAAGGCAAGGCGGTGAAACAGGGAGTATAGGTCACTATTTCTAAATGTTCTTATACAGAAGAATAACCAGAGTGGCTTGTTTTAAATCTATATTCCAAGGTCTCAGCCCTAAAGATTCTGTTCAGTAGGTCTGGGGTTATAGGGCTTGCTTGGTTTTCTTTCTTTCTTTCTTTCTTTCTTTCTTTCTTTCTTTCTTTCTTTCTTTCTTTCTTTCTTTCTCCTCTCTTTCCTTTCTCTTTCTTTCTTTCTTTCTCTCTCCTCTTTCCTTTCTTTCTCTCTCTCTTTCTCTTTCTTTTACAAGTGTCTTAGGTGATTTTGATGCAGGTCCAGGGATCTCAGTTTGAGAAAAGCTGGTTTGGTCTATGTTGAAAGAATGGTGGTACAAACATAACGCTGGTGTATACTGACCACCAAGATCTCCGAGTTTT